AAACCCCTTTGCTCGGCCTTTCCACAAAATTTCCCTCTCCAATCACTTTTCTCTCTACAATCACGCTTTCCTTATTCGCTTGTTGTAGGTTTAGTCACTCTTTGCCTTTAATTTTGCAAGGTTTCATGGAATAAGTGAGGACTAGGACTAAATCCGCTAAACTCAAATAAGAATAGTAAATCAGTTTCCTCGATGTCGGCACCAGAAGCCATTAGGTGACCTTAAGAAACGACGACGACAACAACGGGCATCACGTTTTTTAGTACATTTCTTTGACGTCCACTGCACGACCACGACGTGAAACCTCCCAATACGATGTTTTATCAATAGAGGAAGTGGAAATAATACGACAAATTTTCCGTTCTCTATTTGAAGAACGATAAAGCCCTTAAGAATTCAACTCCAGGAAACGTCGCCTACATTTGACGAATTGAACGGTTTCAAATGGACGCGATAAAGTTTGAAAGAACGCAAAATCATTTTTCTTAGTGATTGTATCACTGCCGTCGTCTTCGTCGTTCCTTAAGGTCCCTATTATTGATGACGTCATCGTGTATCCAAAGATGGTTATGGCCCGGACCGTTCATTGTTTATTCTAAAATGTTAATTCCAAATTTTATAATATGACTCTTGATTTAAAATCTTTTAAATATAAAAAACAGAACTTTTCCTGAAACCTCCTTTACAGTCGGGGAAGGTCAAGCGTACCTCCCAAGATTGCATCAATGAATTTATTATTCGAAGGCTGTAGATTTCAGTTTTTATCTCTACACTCCTGCTTACGAGCAGTGAGGTAGTCATGAAATGTCTGGCAGCTCAGTTTTCTTGAATTTGATGTAAATGTCTTTAAAACAATTTTATCCATTCAAAGATTTTTTAATCTGACCGAATACAGAGGAGCCAGTATCGTGAAAAACTCACGGCTCCTTAAGGAGGAATGCAGATTTGAATTTGAGACTGGTTGAGGTTACGACTAACAGAATCATTTTTCAAATAATCGATTCAATAATGCCATCTTGGGGGGTATGCTTGACCTGCCTTGACTATAAGCACATAAGTCCTTCGGGACTCTCGACTTTGTCGCGGAGACACGAATTCATTCCATTTGGTCTAAGCTAAGATCAGTCCAAAACAAAAATCCTTCTGCATCTAGAGGAAATCCACATCAATAAAAATAAACAAATTTAAACAAAAACTTGTCTCAATAGTTTTCCAACAGTATAAAGAGCAGCTTGCAGTAATTAGGGACGCTAACAAAGAGAGTAAGCAATTTGCAAGGACATGTGTATTCGGCAAAATAATATTTAACACAGTAATTAAAAGAATAAGTCATTCTTACCCCAATAACGGATCGACAGCAATTGCCCTTGGAAGACCCAAGTCTTTCCAAAAGAGAACTTTACGATAAGATCCATCTAAATTTGCGACCTCTATTCTATTTGTTTCCCATTCAGCATCTCTACCATCGGTCCAATACAGTTTTCTTGCAATCCAATCTACGGCGAGTCCTTCAGGATTTTTCAAATTAACTGAAATAACATCTCCAACTTCTCCTGTGGAGACGCGAATTCGTTTGATTTTTTTCAAATTAACATCAGCCCAAAATATAATTCCTTCTGCGAAGAGAAAATCCACGGCAATGGCGTCATTTAAATCATCAATTATTATACTTTCATTTCTGGAATTTGCATTAAAGATTCTGATATCCTTTCGGCTGGCGTACAACAGCAGTGGAGCTGTGGAGGAGAATGAAAAAAAGAGAGAAACGTAGGGTGTCAGTATTGGATTGAGCTATCCCGAAACAAGTATGTGAAAATTAAAATTAGAGACAAACCTATTTTTAAACCTAGTCTACCGTGAGTTTTGGACAATTGGAATGCTACACACATCTTTATTATTTATTCTAGACTTCTAGATTTTAACACTTTAGAGACCAGTGTTGGCTTGTGCTGTTGTCGTTCCTCATGGAATAATGATGCTTTTCTGAGCCCATTTAGCTTTCAGTATAAGGGACTAAGTTGGTACGCAGCAAATTAAGGAAGGAGAGATATTTGCACAGGCACCTTGTTGCGAAATCAGTCTGACCAATCCTGCCAGAGTTATACTAACACATAACAGCTAATAATTCCAAAGGAAAAGTCCAAATTTGGCGTATGTGCAAGGTTAATGACATCAACTTAGCACGAAAGAACGCCTTTAGTGTTGCAAATCGCATTAGGTAGGCATTTCCACGCTCATCTTGACTTATATGTATGTTAAGGCTTGGATTCATCAATACAAAGGACCCCCAGCAGAGATTTTTAAGATATCACGCTTGCAGTCGACGTAAGAATAAGTTTGTTTCAGTCGTAAACTTAGAAGAATTAAAATTTGACGTTTTTGATCGTACAAAAGTGACATATACCGTCAAGTAATTTTCCGCTCCTGATGATGTCACAAAACGCTTTTCCTCAAATGGGGTACATTTGCGCATTACAAATGTGAAACTTTTCGATGTCCAAATTGTCTAAAGGAATATTTTAACATGATTCTGCCTTTTAACGCGGTATTCAATGCATTGGCCCCTGGTTATTAGAATATT